CTGCAGAGGAAGCTGTGCAGATGCTTTGTGTTGCACATCAAGGGAACGTGTCTCCTGCTTCTCACAAGCAAGGGTTATTTTTAAAATGTGCTATGGGAAGTATTTGAATGCAGACAACACTGAGGCCTTTTAGAGAGCTGCTTACAGAGCAGATTCCTCATTCTCTCTCTAATCATTTCTATTTCATGGCTGACTGATTTGTCCCCAGTTTCCATGCTATTGTGCCTCATAGTCAAGTGGCAAGAAATGCATTAAATGCTGGGTAAAAAGCATCTGAAAAGGTTCTGAATCTAGAAAAATGCAATGGCTTTAAACAAAATTGAGCTTAGCCTGAACCATACTTCTGGCTTTACAATACTCCCAAACATTTTTTTTTCTCTGATTTTCCATACCCGACTGAGACTGGGGACTCCTTCTGTTACACAAGTGTATTTTTTACACTCTGCCTGGATGAGTTACAGCTGAAGTAAGAAAGGCAGATGCATGACAGAAAGGGACCACAGACTGATGGCTAAGGCAGGAACTGAACCTGTGTATCTTTGCCCCAATCCAAGCCTGTCCCCTAGGTGCTGGATCTGAACTTTATTGCTATGTCTAAGAGGCTGAACCTGAAAGTAGTGTCCAAATAAACTCAAATTGTGGCAAAATTCCTCTCTCCACTTTTCAGGTTGGACCTATCCATGAAATACTTATAAAAATCAAAGTAATTCTTCTATGTCCTTGTAACAAGACAGAAAAACGTTGCTTTACAATGGCCACGGTTTTTACAAATACTGCCATTTTTATGATGCAAAACGGATCCTGTCTGTTTAACACCAAATTCATTTTGATACATTCCTGTGTCTTGATGTGACTATGTGCACTACCGGGAGGTCGCTTGCTGACACAGAGGCGCTAGTGGTATTCTGGCTGTTTGCTGGTTTTCAATGAATGTGTTGGTCCATGATTATTTCAAAAGGACGAACTGAGAAGCTTGTTTTTTCCATTCCTACAATTCTTATTTTTCAACTTTCTTTTAGATGATTGGACATAACAAACTTTCTTAATCATTGCCCCTGTGGGAGGGAGAGAGGGCAGGATGGGCTTTGTACACTTCAGTTCCTTTTAAGTCCGTTAGGAGTTTTTTCCGTCAGTGGTCTCCCTCTTTTCCCAGCAGGATCTTTCTTTCCCTAGTTAAGTTTGTGGACACCCGGATTCTGACTTGCTTGGGGGCTATGACTCATCCTCAGAAGGTTTGGTTGCTTTGGGGACTTCTTCTGTTGATGTACGCAATAAACCATGATGCAGTCTCATTCTTCAGCTCTTGCATTCCCTGTCTACTCAGCTGCTCCTCCGTGGGTAGAAGAAAAAAGAATTGCTCTCTCCTTTCTCAAATCAACCATTTTAATGGAAGTTTTGTACCATTAGGTACACAGATCCTTTTTTCTAACCAAATAAAAACTTTATGCCTTTTCTTTCTAGATCCCAAAGCTGACAATGGCTCCTTAAAGATATAGCCTGCTCCGAGGGATAATTCTCAGTGTTGATCCAGCACAATGGCTAGTCATATTCAGCACCTTCAAATTGTGTTGAAGTCAGTGGAATTTGAGGTTACTCGGGACCTGGCTATATAGTCTGCACATAGCATGAATCATTTTACTGACATACATTCAGGAACCAGGGTCCAACCTTTTGATTCTCTGGAAACAATGCAGTATTTCTCTTTTTCAATAACGGGTCTTCCTGACCAACAAACACGGTGAGCTGCACACACTCTGACTCTGCTGGACCCTAAGTAAGGCAGTTAGTGGCTTAGTCACCCACTACGACTGGGCAGCTCCCATTTTTCCTAGGTTCTGACAAGCCCAGGTGACAGCATCCTCAGTTTTCACACGCACAGTACAAAACTTGTCTGCTAAGAGAAGAGTCAGCTCTATGATTTTTCTGACCAGAGTGACTTCAAGCAAGAATCTCCATCGACCCTGACTTGTCAAAACAGCCAAGCTCTGATTTAAAAACACAAACAAACAAAAATCTAGACAAGGGCACAGTTAGATTTTGCTTAGCTTATTTCCATTTATCATTGCTTGAGGGAAGGAAGACAAAACAAAGCGAGGACCCAACTCCAAACGACCACCCGGACCTCTGATTTTGCACCCACTCGGCTTAGGGAGGGTGATCTGTCCCGCAGGCCGTGCCCAGCAGCGCAGCTAGCTCAGGCTGCGCTGGGCTGGTGCCACCTCCCTGCCCTGCCTCTCTATACGTGCCCGAGGGAAGGAAAATCCCTCTGCCGGTGTTACATAAGGTCACGCAATTTATTTT